GAGAATAGCACGAATGGAACTGGCTAAGTTGTGGTAGCCTAAGACTGCGTCCATACCTCGCGACTCGCGCGATTTGTCGTGCGAGTCGACCGGTCAGCCGCGCTCTTTTGCTCAAAAGCACACTCCGCGATGCACGAAGGCCATAAGCCCTCAAATGTTCTAGGTGATCCGATAGGCGATTGTGGAGGTTAAACCACACTGATAAAGTGAAATTTTGCAAGAATCCCGGTGGAGCTGAAAATTTGTGCCCATGCCCTTTTTCAGAGGTTACTATCTACTAGCTAGAAGCCCCTGTACTAATTTTCACCATCCCGAGCTGTGAGAATGAGTGGTAAGGGTGAAGAGGTGACATTGTTATAGCAACATCAAATGAGAAGTCGTACAAACTTCCCGTCATAGTGCATGTACAAGGTGGCGTCAGCAGAGGGCCTTATATAGGGCACTCCGGACGTTTTTTTTCCTGTTTTTTTTCGTCACTATTCAGTCACTTACTACCTTGTTATTCGTACATGAGCTCCATTATATACAACCTGGTGGTGTAGTGACAAGTAGCGCGCTTTCCACCCGCGCCTTGGGTAACCAGAGCCTTCTACCCTCCGGGGACGGTAAATTGGTACCAGATTCGTCTGGGAGGATAAAACACTGACTTGTACATCGGCTGGCCACCGCAAGTCATTGTATAGGCCACATCGCATTCAATAAGCCACTACGATTCTGAATGGAAGTAGAATGCGTGCCGCATCCCACAAAGGGATTGATCAACGGCGAAGACTTTATCCTTTTATCAATCTGTGAACGCGGATTTCTGCTTTTGATGTCAGACCATTTTGCAACTGCATCCAGGACAGATTATTCAGAATCGATGGTTCCTTGAGCTTCATTGTGTTTAATCTTGCTGTAATGAGTAGAACGGCGAAGCTCTTCTTTTCATTGAATCTTTATTACGTGACAACGTTTCGGGCATAAGCCCTTCTTCAGGTCACTCGATCTTAAATCACAGCATTTGCCCTTACAATGTTACAGCACTAATAGAGTGAACATAGCAACAACCCACACTGTGTAGAAGGGAGAAGGAGCACAAACTCCGTCAAGCCTCTCTACTTGGCAGTATAGATAGAAATAAAAGTGGTAGGAATGGGACTATTTATAAGGGTGCGGGACAGGGGTGATCTAGAATCAGTCACGTATCTCCATTGTGCACGTCTTATATTGATATCAATCCCATTGCCACTTTCATCTCCTCCTTGCTGTTGATGGGTGGTTCTTGTTGCTTTATTTCCATTGCTTCCCTGATCTTCCTTTCAACTGGATCCACCACATTTCTGTGTAGAATGGAGATGCGAAGTTCCGGCGGTCTTTCTTGAGCGTGCCTTAGTGTGCGGTGTCTCGAGAATGGGTTCTCTGGGTAGCTCTGTGGGCTCCGCAAAGCTCTTAAGTGCTCCTCCATTCTCTTGTGTAGTGGCCTTGATGTTTCTCCTATGTAAAACTCGTGACACGAAAGGCACACTACTTTGTACACCACACATTTTTCTTGACACACCTTATGTTCTCCACAGATCACACAGTTAGCTCTTTCACATCGACTCTCATACGGACGCGATGATGTTAAAAGTCGTCGTAAATTGAGAGGTGGTCGAAATACCAGGCTTATAGGAAGCCGTGATCGTTTCACGACGCGATTAACATCAATTGCGAACGAGTCGCTGATGAAAGGTAACACAAGTGGAGTACCATAAGGTGATCGGTAAGGCCTCCAGCTTTGAAGCTGCCGATTTCTATATCCGTTTTGCCGCAAGATGTTCTTCACTTCTCTCTCCATTTGTTCGTGATTCGTGGAGGTCAGCTCGTGTGATGTCTTAACCATATGGCGGACTACGTTCACTTTCATGTAAAGAGGATGGCAACTCCTCGCGTGAATGAGGATGTTCTGGGATGCCAACTTCTTATACCATATGGTGTTGATCTGACCTTCCGAAATCTTGACTTTGGTATTCAGAAACGGGAGGAAACCATCCGGGGAAGGGCGTTCGGCTGTCAACTTTATTGACTGGCACATTCCATTGAGCTTTCCAAATGTCTGTCGTAATGCAGTCCGTGATCTACCGACAATGAAAATGTCGTCGATATATCGTCCGAATAACAAGATCCAGGACAGAACTTCGTTCGACGGTTGCAGCCGGCCCACCTGTCAGCCGTGACGCATCTCGGCCAGAGTTTTTGGTTCCCAGATCGCAGAACTGAATCGCTGGAGTCGCGAAGTATAAATTAAGTCCCATTGTAAGGTAGCCAGGCATGTGGATGCAGTACGAGGCTGGTATTCAGCAAACAGTTATGGCTTGCATTGATATACCACTATCGATGTGCGTTATAGCTATGTCTTGCCTTTTGTTTGTTAGACAACTAATAATAGGTTGAGAACCTTTCAATGTTTACGACCGTCTTTGTGCTGCTTGAGGTGTTCTGATTTCAGCGACACACTACACAGGTGGTATGATAAAAAATGGCTCGCAAGGTCAGAGGATCGAACTCTAGATCTAACCCAGCTCCGGACAACCGAGCTATCCATCCTTTTTGGCTCTAATGGGTATCAGACATTTCTGACCATAAGAGGACAGAAAACCCACTTGAACATCAGGATTCTCGGAATGTCTACGCCAAATCACGTGCCACCGCGATTCTGCGCTAAGTAGAGAGCGTGGCTCATCCCAAAAGGCGTCGAATGCTTCATCGTTCAGCACTACGTTTGTGCGTGTAATGGCACGAGGAAACAGAGCGGCAAAGAATTTCAATTGTTTTACAATCCGCGTGTGTCATATGTGAGAGCAATGCCATCCTGCGGATTATCTCTGCCCGTTCCCATATGTATGAGTCACCCGTGCCAATGCAAACGCTCGTGAAATGCAGCGAAATGCCGCTCGATGTTGGATCCTCGGTAGTATAGTGGTGAGTATCCGCGTCTGTCACATGCGAGACCCGGGTTCAATTCCCGGCCGGGGAGAAGTTTTGCATTTCTGCACTCGCACAACAACTCACATGCCCCGATGCTTATCTAACCAATGGAGAAATGTAAGATAGCACTTCTTAGGAGAACCTTCTTGATAGTTTAATGATGGTCGTAAGCGTGGGATCGATTAACAACCAAGCAAAACAACTTTGCAGCTTTCAATGAGTTAAATTTTATTACTATTAACAACAAGAAAATGAGTGGAATATATCAAAAGAAAGCTGGGCATCTGAAGATGGCACAGCAAGATGATTTCAATAGCAATAAGAGAAGATAGATTAGATTAGATAAGCATCGGTGTATGTTGCACTGCGCAAGCGCAAAACTTCTCCCCGGCCGGGAATTGAACCCGGGTCTCGCATGTGACAGACGCGGATACTCACCACTATACTACCGAGGACCCGATATCAGCTCGCACTTCGCTGCCTTTCACGAGCCGTTGCATAGGCGCCGGTGACTCACATGTGAAGGGCCAAAGATCTTCGGCGGGTGGGAAACGTCATCCCTGACCTCGCATGTAATCGACGCTGGTTCTTAGCACTGCACTATAGATGAGGCCATAGGCTTCGTAGTATTCTATTTTAGGTCATCGCCAAATTGCCAGTTTTGAAATAAATTTAAACTGCTTGCTACGTTTCTGCTTTGAAGTCCCTACGCATATAAGCTTGAGGGTCTTGGGGGTTTTTATCTTCGGATTTTGTCGGGCCGTTTCGTGGTATTTGGTGAAACAGTGAGCAGCGAAACCATCCCTCCAAGTGTGAGTTACACTACGGACAAGAGCTCTGAGAGTAAGGTCCTCTTTGACCTAGGCCTCGAAGTGTGAGTCTGACAGACCTCCTTCGGGTACGGCAGCTTGAGGAATTCGCACAAGTAGCGTATCCAAGCAGCCCAACAGCGGATCAAAAGAAGTAACCATAAAGTGCTGCTTGAAAAATTTCGACAAAAATCTTGTTCAGCGAACTAACTAAGGGAGCAAGAATAGGCGGAATGACACGCTTGAAAACTAATCAGATTTCCTCAAATTCCTAGTTTCTTTTCAATTTATAACGCATGCTTCCTTGTTAGATTAGTAAACTCCTGAAAAATTGGGCAATTTTTGGAACAGTTGTTCGAGAACAGAGGCCGGTGTTTGTGTGCTTGGCTGGGTGCATTTTTATCCGAACAGGTCGAACTCATACTTTGATAGGCACTGTAAGAGATCTGAACCTGTGCATTTCCTTTATTTTGCTGCTCGGGTCACTGTGAAATGAAAGTCGCTTAAAAGTACAGCATTGCCACTTAAAGGCATGGTTCGGCACAAATTAGGGTTTCAACTTCATGAATGTACAAGGTGACTCTGAGAACTGTGCCCTGACCATCTTAGGCTGCGTTTAGCGTCCACCGGCGACCTCCAGCTTCCGCCAGCGTATCAAGGGCTAGGAAAGTATGGATATCAATCTAGCGCTTACCAGCGTCCGCCAACGCCCACCAGCCATCACCGAGAGTAAAGGGAAGAAAGATGGCAACAGGATGTTGGTAGGGAAGGGGGAGGAAGGAGAGAGGGCAGACAATTGGACTTTGGGAACGGCGTGTGCAACCGGAAGAACTATTACGCATACCGAACTCCTGGACGCTGGTAGTCGTTTGACACTTACCGCAAGGAATGAAATCAGCCTTGCTTGTCCGGTGGTCACGATCCACTGCAAGAAGGAAGGGTCTTATTGAGGAGCGCTTCTTCTTGCTTTCATTTTCTCTAGGAAATCAAATAGCTCTTTGCACATCTGTTTTGGAACTCTTTTGCCTGTGACGTATCATCGCGGGAAAAGCCTTCAAAAAGGAATCAAGATTGAAGATAGGTTTCAAAAGCGAGCAGGAGATCTACGTTGCGCCAATGTGAAGGTGGAAATGGCGTGACCAATTAATCACTAGCAATTAGAGCGCGCTTCTGATAATAAGACGCAAAACTCATAGAGACTACTAGGTCTGCTCAAGCAGGTAAATTTGTTTCAGATTGTCAATGGGGATGGCCAAACTGTTACTGACCGGCGTCATTCTCTTCCTGCCACCCTCGGTAACTGCACTCAGCCGCCATCCAAAGCTGCTTCTCATATCAATGGACGGCTTCCGATATGATTTAGTTAAACCCCATTTAGTGAGTTACATATTCGCTGAGAGCTGAAATGAAGTCGTGATTATTTAGTGAGCACCAAGAATTCCTTTCAGGTACCGTTTATTTATGAATGGGCCACTAAAGAGACTTGGTTTACTAACGGCATGAGACCACAGTATGTCAGTTTCACAACTCCAAATCATATGGGTATAGCTACAGGTAACTTTTCAATTTTGTTGGCTCAATAAGGTGGTGGTCCTGATTGCCACTGAGCATGAATAAGCAGTCCAGTAGATTACCAGTTAGGAGTTAGATGACGTGACGTCATATACTACTTTGATGGCAATCTCAAGACGTCACTGATGATGATAAAATACAAGTTATTTTGTCGCAATCGTGTCAAGTGACGTCAAAGAAGCGTCATCTCTCCCCTGCTTCTACCGTATACTAAGTCGTAACATGTGAGAATCTGAGCTACACCTTCTTTCTCAGGGCGTCATGCAGAAAGTCATGGTATCGTTTCCAATAAGTTCTACGAACACGATCAATTGTCTAACACTCTCCATTTGTGAGCGTTCTTCAAAGGCTATGTTCAGATCTAAACGGAAGAAACTGCTATTCTTTTCAGGTATGATTACTATAATTTCTCCGGAACACCTGGAATCTTAGAGGAATCTAGAAAGCCTTCATGGTACTTGGGAGAACCGATATGGATCACAAACGAAAAGTATGTTTACAAAATATCCTTCTTCAAAGCATATAAATTTAATTCAAGATTTTTTCTACGCTGTTGTAGGGGACAGCGGCGAGCACGAGGCAACTAAGTTCGAGCATGAGGGAAGGAAGTGATCTTTACGTCGGTGACGTGACAGGCGCGGACGATCTGAGCGACCGCGGTAGTCCCATTCTCACCCTCAGCCATGTTAGGCTGGCTCCCCGATCCTTCCCACACCAGTGCTTTCTAGTCGCTTCCTGTATTCAGTGAGTGAGGCTGCATTTCTTTTTCAAACGATTTATGGTGGGATCTGCCACCGGGTGCGCTACACGACTGATCGTTGGGTCACTTCAACGGTCGGAAGAAGTTCTGTCCCTAAGGCACGGTCTGCGATAAAGAGTGTCGGTAATGGTGTTGAAATATGGAAGTATGAAATATGGAGAAGTTGTCAAGTGACTCATCTCTGAAGAAGAAATTCCAAAAGGATTGTCGAAAACGCCTTTGATAGAACCCCTCCAGCCTCAAACGACTGCACGGGTAAAAGGTCAAAGAACCACACCCTGGGAAGAGCCTGATGGGTTGGTTCCTTGCAGTGAACCCTATGACCCCACAAGAGGCAACGACAGCCTTCATTTCATGCTTCTTGTCCGCTAGCACCGCTTTTCAGTTGGAAAGGCGATGTTTGAGGGTGGAGTCTGGAGGCGGAGTCACTGGAAAAAGGGAGGTATCTCTGATGCAACTTTATGCCTTATCTTCGTTACCTTACAACTTTCCGCCACGAAACTGGCACAAGGTGTCCATTGTGGAATACTCTATCGTTCCAAAGCAATGTTTCACATCTGCATAGTCCATCGCGGACCGTTTCTTTAATGCGGTTGTGCTAGCAGTTGCAATTTCGCGGTACTAAATAGCTCGTGTCGCGAGCTAAGACTGCGTAGGAGATGTAATGCCTCTTCAAGGTGGGCAGAGACAGACGTACGCGTACGCCCGTGATGTGAATGGGTCCGTAACTGCAGTAACGTGCCACTTTTTCCATTCAGAAGTGCACATGGACGAGGCTGGAGGGTAGTGGGTCCCAAGTGCCTCTCCACACTCACGTACGCGGCCTGAGGACCATATCTGGGACTGGCTGTCGTCCAGACAAATGGAACCTTCCATCCACTCCTACGATGTCGGATAGCTGGTTCCGAGCTTGGCCAGGAGGACAGAAACAGTCACGCACTGTCTTACCACTGGGGGATTCCTCTCTGTACGGAACAGCTTTTGAAATGTCACTGTGATTCTGAAAGGAGGACTGATGCGCCACGCATTCCGACAAGGGTTTTATCAAGCCCCGGAGACTCATTTCTTAACGTTTTACACATTAATGCAGTTTTCAGAGCAGATGCAACTCGACATTCCGCTTGCCTTCAATGGCCGGCCTGTGATGCAAATTATCCCAATGCAAATAAGCCGATGTACTACACGTACGTCTCTTTTGGATGTTTCATGTGAAATAGTACAAAAAATGAGAATCTTTTATTCGTAGACTTAGCATGAGGGTGAGAGTGTTACGCAAATTTACCTCAGACTTCCCTGTAAGTATCTTGAACATTGTTATGAAGTCCTGTTTTCTCCTTCTACTGAGTAAGGAATCGAGCGCAAGCATTTATTTCTAACGACACCTCTTGGTATAGAACTGTAAATAAAACCCAGTGCCCGAGTCAAAACCTTTCTTGTGAAACTATTTTGCACAGACTCCAGTCTGGAAATGGTCTTCCTCATATGAGGATAGAATACAACAGAACCATACTCTAGTAGCGGACGAATGTAAGTCTTGTAAGCTCTTATAAGAACGTGTGGATCCTTAGTAAGCAAGCTCCTCAGTAACTGGTACAGTCTCTTCTCCGCTCTATTAGCTATGGGGTCAGTGTGGGCGTATCACTGAATTGATGAATTGCCCGGCCTAATAAGTGTGGTCAATTTGATGTGAAAAGTGAGGGTGAATTTGGTTTGAAAAGGGGTGAATTTGGTTTGGAAAGGGGTGAATTTGGTTTGAAAAAGGGTGAATTTAAAGTGAAAATGGTGTAAATTATCTGTATTACAGAAGTTGGACAAAACATCAAAAGCCTGATGATTGGATGAAGGATATAGATACGATCATTGAGTTTTTCACAAGAGAGGACTATCCAATGAATTTCGTTGCATGGTGAGAGTTAACTAACAAGGTGGATCGCATTGGCAGCCGATGATTCTGAATTTTCAAATTTCTTACCAGTACTGTAATTTTATCTTTGGCGCCATGAGTACTAGATCTTAAAGTGTGCGATACCTTATACTCACCTACAGTCGTTATAACTGAAGTCAGTGTGGGCGTATCAAGGCGGATGGGTTTGGCGCGGTGCCGGCCCGATTTTTCTTTTTTTTTCTTCCGGCAAGCAACAAGACCATGTCCAATCGTTCGTATCAGCCGTTTTCCACCACTTGTTGTCGCTTTTCTGCTTCAACAACTGGTGGAGAACGGGCTGGTGGCGCGCCAAACCCGGCCCCGTCATCAGCAGCGAAGCAGACTGTAAACTCTTGCTTCATGGGATATCGGAGACGGTACGTGACATCATCGGAGCCTCTCTTGACTGTATAAACGTCCAGACTTCTGGAGTCTAGCAGCAGCAGCTGTCATCAGTATTCATTGCTGGCAGTGTCCGTGCTGGGAAGTGCACAGTTGGAAACTGAGAAGCGAAATCCAAGTGCCTCGAAAGGGGTTTTATACTTACTGAAATGGTAACTACACTTATTCCCTCGAACCATCCATTCATTGTTGAAGGTACATAGAAGAGCCTGACCATACTCTTCATGGGCACGGCTTCAATGACGGTGCGTTAGAAAAGATTCTCGCCGAACTCGATACAACTTTCAAACGCCTGATTGATGAATTGCGGAAGCATGATCTGCTTCGATAGAATCAACATCATATTGACAGCTGATCATGGACATGCTCAGGTTTCACTTACTATACTTTATTCAATTAGTTATAAATCTTGCGGCAAATGTAATTGGAGAGTTGGAGTAGAAGCGCTCACATAAGGCAGATCCCGCAGTGCGGTGAACCGCTGCTACCAGGAGCCAGGCAAGGCGTTGTATCCCTTTTCCGGCTGAGGAGGTGAGCGCGAACGCGCTAAGCAGGTGAGTTGGTGTGGTGGAACTTATACCACCTAGGAATAAAGCGTTACAAAAAAGGACTTCAAACTTGGAACTTGGGAAACAGAACTAGCCGAGCTGATTAGGGTGGCCCTCCGGGCTCTGACATCATTCTTCTGCAGCCGTTTTGAAGCGTTTTTGGGGAGAAAAGCAGGCATATGTGATGCGAGAAACCAATGCGAATAGAGAAGATTCCCAAATCCTCATTACACCTTATCCTACTGGGATGGGGCAGACAAGCAGACGTAAGTGATGAAGTAGAGTCGTGTATGTGCCTGCTGTCCATCAATTACCTTTTCCATTGAAAACAAACTCTATACCCATCTCCGAGCACGACCTTTTCCGTGTACGAAGTGAAGGGTCCGCGGGTATCCCATGTCGTTTTTCCTCTCAAAAGTGCACGAGAGCGGGGCTGAGAAGCAGTAATACACGAGTGCTCGTCTCCGTACTCCGCCCGCGCTATTCTCAATGTGCTGCACTTACGTCCATACCAAAACCCCGCAGCGAAGTCACGCACTCAGTGGTAGACAACAAGCAAAAGTGAGAGGGCGCTGACAAGTAGCGCATTTGGCTATGGTTGGGCCAGCGGCAGCGCGGGTTGAGTATGGAGACGCCAGATTGGTACCGCTACCCTTCAGCTTCCTTCCTGTGGAGCTTCTTAGCGGAGAAAGTACCATGCTACTGCAGCTTCAGACCCAGCTACCTCACACATAGCGAGGACTAGGGTCCACATAGGTGAGTGCACATTTTGTCTTTAATTGTTAGATATTATGTGCAAAGTTCTGTAATGTGTGAAGCTGCAGGAAATGTGGACCTTTCGGAAGCACGATTCTCTTGTTGCAGATTGAAGGCATATCAAATATTCTCTGTGTAAAGGATTATGTAGATTATAGTCGTGTCAAATGTGGGGCAAAACATGATTTACACCACTGATGAGGCTGTTGCCCGTGAAGTGTACGATAACCTGACAAAAGCCGTGGCTGAAAATGGACTGAAGATCAAAGTCTTCACAAAAGATGTGAGTAATTTGTATCTCTCCTTTTATACGGTACTTCTCAGACAATCCTTTGTTGTTCGCATGTCAGTATTTGTAGGGGTAAATGAGGGAGCAGAAAAATTTCCCTGGGGATGCCTCAAGCACTCGATCGCGAGATCTATTCACCCAGGGTCAAGAATGAGGGGACTTCTGCTTCAATACGACCTCCAATATCCGTGAAAAGGAGAGGAACCCACCTCAGTTCACCTATAAGACACAGTAGAATTGCACCGCGGCAGAATAAGGCTGGGGGGGCACATAGCACACCTGAGTGAGACAGAAAAACAATCCGAAAAAATAAAAAAAATTTCATTTGGTTGAATGTGATCCCTTTTCTCCTACTGATACCCCTCTTCGTCGAAGATTTCTCGTAGAGCTAACTCCCTGACCCGGTACCTGCTGGTCGAGCTCGAAGGATACGGGACTTGTATGGCATCCTGTGAACGTAGAAGGGTAGCGCATACGGTGAAATGAATGTAGGCCGATAGCGTTGCTGCCGATGCTGGAGCGTTGTCAGGAAGTTGGGTTGGCGTGACGTTTGCCCATTTCCCACCAATTGTTGTCAATTGCCCGCTTCAAGAAGTGGTGGAGGACAGGGTTGGCGTCGCACTAGATCCAACCTCCCACCACACCCCAGCGTCTGCAGCGGAAACGGTTGTCACTTACTGGCAATATACTTAAGAATTTTCCCGATCACTACTTCTACAAAAGGATACCATCACGAATAGGGGACGTGATACTTGAACCTGGAGTTGGATATGAGACTGATTTCGCATGCAAAAAGGAAGAATTGAACGAGTATGGTTCATTTTTAGTATTAACTTGAATGCGTAGACTTCATGCTCTTTTTAAGTCTGCATTATTCCATTTTAGAGAGATTTGACTATGGAAGGAAAACGCTGAACAGGTTCCACACATGGGCAAGATCCATTTAGTCCCGAAATGCACCAATTTCTTATTCTCAGTGGGCCCGACATCGGCAACAGTCATAAAGTCAGTTTTTATTCTGAAAAAAATCAGGAAAACAAAGATTGATTTGATATTCTGAATAAATGAACTTGGGATTTTTTTTGTTATCATCATATGTGTTGGCGCTCCGGCTTTGATCATCTTCCCCTAAGTAAGCGCTTCTCATAGCAGCAACCGCGCGCGTCCTGTTCTAATGGGTTACGTGACATCTTGAACTTTTGCGGATGGTCCTGTTGCGAAATCAAGAAACGCAGACAGATAGAGGACAGCGCCTGCCAAAGCATCGAGACGTGCAAGAAACTATGGCGAGTCAGGAAACGAGGTTTTTCGAGGGAGGGGGGACACCGAGGTGGGTGAGCACTTGTGAAAAGCTGGAATTCGCAAACAATGACCATAGAGTGCCGCTGGGACGGGAGAGAGCAGAGAAAAACGCAAATTCAACGCTCTCAAAGGAATTGAGCTCAAATTGTCCGTAGACCGTTGTGATGCTCGCAAATTCCAGTAAAAATAGGGTTACCGAAAGATAAACTGCAAGGTAATGGTAATTGTTTAATGAGGTCAACCACGTAGATTCGACTACTCTTTAGTACCTTAGGACGCGCATTTAGCCTTTTTGAAACTGCTGTAAAGGTCAGTACGAATATTGTCCAAGATGAATAAAATGAAAATAAATGGGATGAAGTTCTCAGGTGCTTATAACCTCGAGAGGTGGATTAAGGCTCTGCAGCGATCATACAGTCAGAGGTATAGAATATCATGTACGCAGATACACTCGAAATCCCAGTGATGTGGTAGGCGTGGCTGCGTATTTCAGCTAAGCGTGTCGCTGAGCGGTGACTGAGCTTTTTGTGAGAATTTTGTCCAAAACAGAACAAGATGACAATGGTGTCAGGTTGAAATATCTTACGAATAACCCATCCCATGCCATATCGAAGTGCCACACCTACTCCGTTCCAGGGATAAGGACTGTATGTAGAGCACATAGAACGGGAGCGGAGTCTTTAGCCCCTTTGCTCCTTTACCTCTACTCACAATCTCTGCCCCAAAGTGAGCACGATTGCACTGTGCGGTCCACCCAACCTCGTTCCAGGGAATTTTCGGTTCTTATAGGTGATCAAGGACCGTACCTTCGAGATTTCTGAGATACAAGTGGGTTCCTGGTTCGATTATTTGATGGAAACCACCGATGGTCAGTTTATGCCATCGAATCTAGTGCTAAAAGGTCAATTTCTAAAGAAAACACTTTTCGACTAAACACAATATTCAATACCTAGTGCTTACGCGGAACGAATCGTCTTGTGTCACTGAATCAACGCACCCTCTGCCTTCATAGGATATATTTTTACAAAATACAAAAATAGCTATGAATGTTTCTATTGAGTTTTCAGACAGACACAGTAGCGGAAGTCATCGACCTATATTCTTTAATGTGTTTTTTGCTCGACGTTAAGGGAGCTCCAAATAATGGTTCATTGGAAAGGATTGCATCAAATTTTTATCTTAAACATTACAAGTACCGGGTTGGTTGCTGACTAAATTTTTCTTTTGAACTTTTCATAGGGTTCCAATAAAACAGGCAGATACACTCAATACCACCACGCCTGGACGGGCGTGTCTTAGCTTAGCTGCACACGCCCCCTCGGTGGCTGCCTGTCTATGGAATGTTGTCGGTTCAGTGCCACTGCCATCCTTAAAGGCAGTTGGCACGATGATTTGGTGCTCGGCCTAAAATGCTAGTAGGGCGCTATATAGTGGGGAAATGGCGAAAGAACGGAGTGAAACGGTCAAAATCCTGCGAAAAAGAGCCTTCACTGTGTTAGTAATCAATTTTGGACGAGTTTCCCGTAGGCATCTTGCCAATAACCGCTACCGAAGGTACGGCTGCATATGTGTACTCATATATCCATGCAGCATCACGGCCGCTTCATACCAATCCCTTCGCTTCATAATTTGCTTAGCAAATGAATCAATACGAGCGTCAGGAACGGTCGTCCATTTGTGGGCGGGCGGGCGTGGCGGGCGTTTGGGTCGGAATGTTGTGGCTTGATAGGGCCCTTATAAGGGCACCTCCTTGGAAAAGGCATTATGCAGCGCCTGCTCAGGGTCGCGGAATTCCGTCCTGCCAGGCGTATTAGTCCTACTCGTTTTGGAGGATTTATCGTGCCAACTGCCTTTAAGGCCTATCCGCCTCAGTATTTGCCCTGCGCTCTCTTACATCCTGTCTACGTCTCCGCCATCTCCACTCTATAAAGGATGAGGGTAAAGTCTTCGCCGTTGATCAATCCCTTTGTGGGATGCGGCACGCATTCTACTTCCATTCAGAATCGTAGTGGCTTATTGAATGCGATGTGGCCTATACAATGACTTGCGGTGGCCAGCCGATGTACAAGTCAGTGTTTTATCCTCCCAGACGAATCTGGTACCAATTCACCGTCCCCGGAGGGTAGAAGGCTTGGTTGGCCTGGGCGGGTGTCGACCTGGGATTCGACCAGGGCCGCGCGAGTGGTAAGCACGCCACTTGTCACTACACCACTCCGCCTCATCTCCACTCTATATCGGGAACATTCCACAGATGCGCAGCCGCGTTCATAAACAAGCGTGTGCCTCAGCATAGCATCATGGAAATCGTACTCTAGGAGAATGAGAGGGTCGCGTGTGCAGGTGAGCGCAAGTATCAATTATGAACAGAGCAGTAATAATTCCGAGGAGTTACCGTCGTTATTGTGCCTCGCCGTCGGGCACATTATCTCTATCGCG